TTAATTCTTTTTTATAAATATTTTATTTGAAATATTAAATAGAAATTATTAATGGAATAATTTATATTAATATATTGTATTATATTAATATAATATACTAATATATTATATTATTAATGTACATTAGTCGACATCCTGCTGACATAATAGGAAAAACTTTCTTTTTTTTTGGTTATTTGGACCGACTTGGTCGACATTTCCAAAATATAGGAAATGTCGACCGAAATAATGTAATTTTTATATTACCATCCATTTTCATGTCAGTGAGCCTCGACATCGACATATGTCAGGCGACTTAGCAACATTTCGCGACATTTCGCAACATTTGAAACCATGATTTCAAGTAGCACAAGATCCTCTCTGCTGTAGCCATGTGTGTATCCCAAGAGCATGCATGAATTGACTGATAACACTAACTGCAGAAAATATTAAGGTTGGTCATGCAGAGATACAACAACATCTCAAGTAGCCTTTGAAACACTCCCCTATCATCCAACATTTTTCTTCAGAACTAAACTGTTTATGATTCAAATCAATGGGTGTAGCTACTGACTTATCCCCAAGTTTTTCCGTCTTAGTAAGTAAATCAAGGACATACTTGCGCCTAGAAAAGAAGATGCCATCTTTGGATCTAGAAACCTCAATCTACAAGAAGTAACTCAATTCCCCTAAATCCTTGATTTCAAATTCAGTATTGAGAAACCTCTTGAGACTATCGACCTCCTACACATCATCACTAGTCACTACTATATCATCTACATAAACAATCAAGAAAGTGGTAGAAGTAGCTCTCTTCTTTGCAAAGAGGTTGTGATCCGACTGTGTTTGGATCATAGTTGTCAAGGTGATGCCTAGGGGACAAGGTGCCCTTTGAGGCTCAAGTTTTGTACTATGTATTATAAAATACTTTTTTATTCTTTATTTTTTGACATTATAATTATAAAATAGGCACTATTATTCATTTTTTGTGTTTATATTACTAATTTCTTTTTAATATTTTTCTTATTTGTTAGGGTTTAATCAATATAAACATTGCTAAATGCTGTATTGAACCCCCAAAGACTTTAAAGCCTGAACCAATAAGTAAGGAAGAACTTAAAATTTTGTCTAGTCAACACATTTTCTATTTTTTCTTTTCTTCTTTTCCTATAACAAAAATAAGGGTTCAGCCCCTATATTTTTTGAATTTTCTTTTCCTTCTTTTTCTTCTCTTGAATATGTTGATTTTCTATATTTTAACATGAACACTATACTTTTCTTATGAAAATTATGAATAATTATTAAGGAAATATGGTTATGGTACCTTGGGAAATACCAGAAAAAAATCCATCGCCTAGGTGACAAGGCGACAAGGCGCCCCCCTGTCGCCTAGCCTCACCTTGGCGCCTTGAAAACTATGGTTTGGATATAGTCGAATTTGATAAGGGCTCCCTAAAACCTCTCAAACCATGCTCTAGGTGATTGCCTAAGGCCATAAAGTGATTTCTTTAGTTTACAGACTTTTCCCTGCATATCATTATCATACATCCCAAGAGAGAGGGGCATGTATACTTCTTCATGCAGATCCCCATTTAAGAAGGCATTCTTTACATCAAACTGATATAAGGGCCAACCGAAGTTCGCTGTTAGAGATAACAAAACCCTTAGAGGTCATCTTAGCAATAGGAGCAAATATCTCTAAGTAGTCCACCCCATATATCTGTGTATACCCCTTTGCAACCAATCAGGCCTTAAACCTCTCAATGGATCCATTTGCATGATACTTGATGGTATAGACCCATTTTCACCCCACAAGGTCCTTCCCTACAGGCAAATCCATGCATCATTTTTATGCAATGCTTCTATCTCAGTTATCTTCACATCCCTCCATTTTGACTCTGAAAGAGCTTCCGATATAGATTTGGAGATAGTCTGAGAAGAAATAGAGGATATAAAGGATAGTATTAGGAAAGTAACTCATAGGAAATGTATTTGGAGATACAATGTTGGTGCAGTTTCTCTCACCCTTTTTTATGGCAATTGGGACATCAAGGTCAGGAAATAAAGGATGGGGTGCTGAAGGAAGGGTGCTAGTACTTGCAGTCTCTTCAGTGCCTGGAAGTGGAGGCTCGGTTCTCTTACCCTTTTAAATTACTGTTTCATCATTTTGTCGTTTTTGTTCGACAAATCTTACTCTGTACATGTACATCTGAAAACCTTATTTGTAGAAGCCTGTTCTATTTGCTGTTTGTTGTGGTTTTTTGATTGCTGTTGTCTGCTTCTAGCTCTATTTTTTTTGGTACTGTTTCTTTTCTTTCTATGTGATCTCTTGTTTTGAAGGATTTCCATGGATGCAAAGGTTGTATTTTTATAATTTGAGTTGGTTTGGGTGTATGGGAGGGTACAGTATAAAGCTGATTAAATGGGGGTACCTCATCACTTAAGCTCAACTACTCTGCGGATGTTATGAGTGCCCATTAAGCTGATTTGTGATCTTAGTTTACTGAAAATAAGTTTATTTTTTTTCCTGAACCTCAGTGCTGGCCTTTCACGGAGAAGAAAGGTAGAAGTTGTGCTATATTCAAGTCTTAATGGAGGGAGGGGAATCTTGAAGTTGCTGGAATGTTCAGAACTGCCAGTTGATATAATGTACTATAGATACAAAAAAGGTGGGCTCCTATAGATTAATATCTCATGTTTGCCTTTTCATATTTCAAAGTGGTGTGGACAATTTGTTGTTGCTTTTCTGAGGTGGAATATACTTGGTAAAAGATTGACAAAAATCCCCTCATTCACTGTAAGGTTACTGCAAAGAGAATGAGATATAGTCTACACTATTGTGGTGTACAACACGTATATTATCAATTGTATATAGTTTCTTTTTAAAAAAATAAAAAAATTGGAAAACCATATACCGTAGATAATATAAATGTTTTGCACCATAATAATGTAGGCTATCTTTTGTTTTCTTGGCAATTACCACAGTAAAGGATAATATCTTATTTTCAAGGACTTTTTGGAACTTGAGGTGCTTCTCCTAAGGAGATATTTATACTGATAATTTGATGGGAGTTGAGCAAAGGCCTCAACTCCTTGGATTGGTTTGGCAGGAGGCTCTCTAGCAATTTGGATGAAAAAGGACACGATTCTCTCTTAGAAGAAGAAAGGACCTTAAGATGGATGTTGAAGGAGTTGGAAGAGATAGTGATGAGGGAAGAGATGTGTTGGAGACAAAAATCAAGGCATTAATGGATTTAGGAAGGGGATGGTAAT